TCTCTATCTCTATATATCTATCTCTTCTCTCTCTCTCTCTCTCTCTCTCTCTCTCTCTCTCTCTCTCTCTCTCTCTCTCGCTCTCTCGCTCTCTCTCTCTCTCTAAATTCAATTCAATATGCTTTATTGGCATGAATGTCAGGTGAACAATATTGCCAAAGTGTCAAGGATAATACAATTCAATAGTGATATGATAAGAAAAAGAAAAAAAAATACAAATACAATTCATTCATTAAACAATTTACAACAATATGTTATTACAAAACCTCAAGTATGAAATGTAAAAAGAAAGAAAGAAAAGAGACCAATGAAGTAGAGGAGTGATCAGAGTGAGCTGTGAGGAACAGCTGTTATGTATTGTTGCTGTCTCTTAGGCTGTGACATGCGCTCACATATTTCGCTGCTTCTATGCTGCTGGCACTATTTTCTCCAAGTACATGTTGCATTTTATTCTGGTCAGACAGTGATTCAAAATCTTGGAGTTTACATGTTATCTTTGTAAAGAACTTTGTTCTAATGTCTTGGTATGTTTGACAGTGCAGCAGGAAGTGTTGCTCTGTCTCCACCTGTCTCTCTCTCTCTGTCTGTCTCTCACCTGTCTGTCTCTCACCTGTCTGTCTCTCACCTGTCTGTCTCCACCTGTCTCTGTGGACAGAGCTGACACAGCCTCTCTTCTCTAGGCAGCCAGGTCTGCCTGTGTCGGCCAGTCTCTACGGCCAGGCTGTGGTCACTGAGTCTGTACATTGTTAATGTCTTTCTCAGTTTGGGATCAGTCACGGCGGTCAGATAGTTTGCCACCGTGTACTGTCTGTTTAGAGCCAAATAGCATTGAAGTTTGTTTTGGGTTTTCGTGGTACATGTCCAATAGTTGATGTAATTTTCTTTTGCTTTAGCTATGATTTGGTTGGGCCAGATTGTGTGAGGGCTGTCCTGATGCCTTGTCCTGTTAGAGGAGGTGAGCCTCAGCACCAGCTGGTTGAGGGGACTCCTCTCTATGTTCTCCTCTTGGCAATGGAGGGCTTTGTAATGGTAGGAGTTGGGATCACTGGTTTTGAGGTGGTTGTAGAATTTGACTGCTCTTTTTTGTATCCTAATTAAAAGGGGGAATTGGCCTAGCTCAGCTCGGCATCCATTGTTGGGGGTATTCCTGTGGACTCTCAGGATGCTCTTGCATATCTCCGCATGTAGGGTTTCTATTGGGTGTTTGTCCCATTTAGCAAAGTCTTGATTTCCAAGAGGACCCCACACTTCGCTACCATACAGTATGATTGGTTCTATTATTGAATTGAATATTTTGAGCCAGATTCTAGTAATTTTGAGTCCCAAATATGTGTAGCTGTGTGTGTGTGTTCTATGTCAGTGGAGCCTAGTAAGAACCGGTGTGGGTTTCCCTGACCCCTGGGTCGTTTCTGGAAGACCATAATCCTGGTCTTTTGCAGATGAACTGTCAGGGCCCAGGTCTGACAGAAGCTTTGCAAATGATCCATTTGCTGTTGTAATGCATCCTTAGATGGAGCTAGCAATATTAGATCATCTGCAAACAAGAGGCATTTAATTTGTGTGTCAGAGAGGGTGAGTCCAGGGATATCGGATTGTTCTAATGATTTAGCCAATTGATCAATATAAATGTTAAATAGGGTGGGGCTGAGACTGCAGCCCTGTTTCACCCCTCTACTTTGGGGGAAGAAATCTGTTTCCATATTGACCATTTTCACAGCACATTTATTATTTGTATACATTGTTTTAATGATATCATATGTTTTCCCCCCTACACCGTTTTCAATGAACTTCAGGAACAGACCGTTATGCCAAATTGAGTCGAATGCTTTTTTGAAATCTACAAAACAAGAGAAAATCTTCTTATTTTGGTGGACATGTTTATGAATGAGGGTGTGGAGGGTATATATATGGTCTGTAGTCAGATGTTGTGGTGTAAATCCAATCTGACTCTTGCTCAGGACATTATCTTCACTGAGGAAGTCTTGCAGTCGGCTGTTTAGGATGCTGCAGAATAACTTCCCCAGGTTGCTGCTGACACATATGCCTCGGTAATTGTTTGGGTCAAATTTATTTCCATTTTTAAATATTGGTGTGATGATTCCTTTGCTCCAGATGTCAGGGAAATGTCCAATGCTCAGAACCAGGTTGAATAGTTTCAACATGGCAGTGTTGAAGTTATGGCTGCTAAATTTCAGCATTTCATTTAAAATGCCATCAGGACCGCTGGCCTTCCTTGGTTGTAGGGCCTGGGTTTTAGCCAGGAGCTCTTCCTCAGTAATGTTATAGTCTAAAGGGTTCTGGTTGTCTTTAACGACTGATTCTAGAATGTGTAGTTTGTTGAGGAGATCATTTTGGGCCGAATTCAGTGTAACGCTACTATACAGGTTTTCAAAGTGTGTTTTCCAAATGTCCCCATTTTGAATAGCCAGTTCTTCCTTGTGTGGTTTGCTGAAAGAGTGCCATTTCTTCCAGAAATGATTTGAGTCAATGGACTCTTCAATGATATCAAGTTGGTGCTGCGCATGTTGCTCCCTTTTAGTTCTGAGTGTTCTTCTGTATAGTTTCAGTGTTTCCCAATATTGGAGGCGGACCTCAGGATTGTCAGGTTGTCTGTGTTTTTTATTTGATAAACTTCTGAGGGCTTTTCTCAGATGTCTGCAGTCTGTATCAAACCACTTTTCATTGGCTGACTTTTTTGATTTATGATATTGTGGTTTTTTCAGATTGGATAAATCTGCCACATTGTCAAAGATGCTGTTAATGTCCCATACAGCCTGATTCAGGCCATCATTACTGTGGGGATATGGGGTGGATAGAAAATGGTCTAATTGGGATTGAATTGTTTGATGTCTGATTGCTTTCTGGTAGTCGTCCTTGCTATTGTTTGTCCATCTATAAGGTTGTTTTGTATAGTTCAGTTTACTGGGTTCTGCTGCGTGAGGGTCTGTTACTGTCTTTTTAATGTAGAGTGTAATTTTACTATGATCAGATAAGAGTGTTAGGGGGCTGACTGTGAATGCCCTCAGACAGAAGGGGTCGAGGTCTGTGATACTATAATCTCTCATGTGAGTATTTAGAAAATGGTTTCCTGAAAGAGTTATTTTGAGTAAAAATGTTACAACGGTTTTACAAGTAATCTTTTGACGGATTTTTTGTAATATCATTAGGAGACATGGATTTTGTTATTTAGATGGCATTTAACAACCAAGACAGATAGTATGATTAGAAAAAGACAGAGTGGAAAGGGTTGGATTTATTTAACCTCTGTGTGCTAGAATTTCTATAGGTAATGCGTGCCGAGACCTGGACTGTCCCTCTGCATCAGACGGCTAAGACCCCGATGCCCCTGAGCAAACAAAGACCTCTAACAACCCAAGCAGGAGACTGCTCCTTCTCCACCTGTGTCAACCAGAACCATCTCCACCTGTGTCAGCCAGAACCAAACAACATGCTGACAGGCAGAGATCTACTCTCATCAGTTCCTCTGATAGGGCACGGAGTCTAAGAGAGCCACATGTGGGACATGAGAGCGGAATCCGCCCTCCATAAAAACAGCAAAGAGACTTTGTTGTGATGTGATCTGATCTCCCCGGGGGGTGTTATTGTCTCTAGTGGGGCATTTAACATACGGAGTGAATGTAGGTAGAGATTTGTCCAGTTTTGCATGGTTTAAGTCCCCAGTGATGGTGATGAAAGCATTAGAGTGTAAAGTTTGGAGTTTGGCCACAGAGGAGTGGATGACGTCACCATCCACCTCCGCATCAGCTGATGGAGGAATGTAAACAACCACTACAATGGTGTAATGAAGCTCTCTGGGCAGGTAATATGGGCGTAATCCCACAGTTCAATGTCCGGGGTACAGAAACGCTCCTTCACGGTAACATGTCCAGGATTATGTGATCGATCACATACAGTGCAATCCCTCCTCCTTTCTTCTTACCGCTCAGAATAACGTCCCTGTCTGCCCGAACGCTCGTGAAGCCGGGGAGAGCCATGTTGTTATCCGGGATGCGCGAGTGCAGAGATACTTGTACTTTACTTAAGTATTTCAATGTTTTGCTACTTTGTACTTCTACTCCTCTACAGTTCAGAGGTAAATGGTATTTAATACCTTTAGTTACTTTGCAGATTTGGATGAATGATGTGAAATATAATCAAGTCTTAAATCAGACTTTAGTTCCACCTGGAGTAAATTCACAAGCTACCCTGCAGTATACAAAGTCATTCAAACTAGCTGCACCTTTACCAGCTTTGAGAACACTTTCATGATCAATAATTATAAAATACATCATATATATTATTCTGAAATCTGCACAATGACTACTTTTACTGTCGCTACTTTAAGTTCATTTTGATGATAATACTTTTGTACTTTTACTTGGGTAACAATTTGATTGCAGGACTTTTACTTGTAACAGAGTATTCCACAAGATCTGTGTACTTCTACTTTTACTCTAGTACAATATCTATAGGCTACTTATACGACCTCTGTTTATAGCCTATGAAAAAACTATTAGAAAACGAAGGCTAAAGCTAACGTTAGCAGATAGTGACAATGTATGCTAGCTAGCTAGCTCAACGATTCCTTAAATAATATTGCGACAGAAAAACTTTTCAGTGCACATCACGCTCTGTCGCTCCGACAGGGAGCTCTGCTCTGAATACCTGAACCGTTCTAACAGTTGTTCACCAGCGGTCCAGTCTGTGCCACAGTGACTCCGCACAGTTACTGTTAACGAATGCACCGTAGGTAATGTAGATGCTGAAGTTAGACCCTCATCATCCCGGAGCAGCAGAGTTCAGCCGGCCCGACAGGCAGGAAGACTCGAGCACATATATTAAAAAATAACACCATGCGCATCATGATGGCACATAACAGCTCGCGACTGAAGATTATTTTGTCGATTAGATCAAATGTAAATTATATTTGACGCAACTTTAGTTACATTTCCATGACTTTTCCAAAACTTTGGGAAAAATATTGTTTTCCATAACTTTTCCAGGACCTGGAATTTGCATTTTGAATTTCCATGACTTTCCCAGGTTTTTAATGACCGTACGAACCCTGAAACTCATAGTTCTGCTGTAACAGGTTCATATTTCACAAATAATATCTGTTCACAATGTTATTCTATTTTGTTCATATTTGTTTCTCTGTATATTCTGTTATTCTGTTTAAATAGACAAACCACCCCTGTAAGATTTTTTAATTCACCAAAGATAATTGTATTGGCTTTAATCTAATTTGATTAAATGGAAAGTTAAAGTAGTACTAGGACAATTCTTAGCAGAAAATTAGTACTTAAACTTTGAAGATGGTGAACTTATGATCTCTGCTCACACCGCACACCTTTAGCAGACATATCGTAACCGTCCATGCTATAGTTTGAACAGGAAGGCCGTTCGGTATTGATACCTTGAACAGTTACGAGCTCACAGTGCCAGACAGCGAACACTGACCTTCACAGGAGGAGAGAGAGAACTTTTTATTACCTTTGGTCAACAATGGCTTGCCCTCTGACATGCTGAGACATCATGTATCAGCGCTGCTGGCTATATGTTTTAAAATGTTTAAAAATATAATTTCTTGGTGAAATGACTTCCGGTATGGCAGCAGGGCGAGCGGCAGCATAAACTGAGAGCTCCCAGACAGGTCTACTATTTTCCCCTAAAATAACTGGAGTTTATACATTTCAAAGGTAAATATTATGCCAAGGGGGAAAGTGCAGAAGGGAAGAGGCAAAA